TAGTTAGGAGATTATTGCATTGTGTAGCTTGTTTTGAAAACACCAGTTTTTCTTGATTATGTCACCACTGAACAGATGCCAATGTGTGTTAGCTAAAGTTTGGTATTAAGGACAAATCACCAATGCAGGGTTTGATCCTTAATTCGTTCCTATTCATCACGGTTAGTTCCCCGAACTTCAAAGCAACCATATGGACCCAATTGTGGTCGTTCCTGGCACACGAGCGACTGAAAGCCGAGGCACTACCGTACCTCCAGTTTCGCTGTACACTGTCATCATATGTTGTGCTGAGCTCTTATTGCATACTGTACTGTACTCAAGCTATATGTCAAGTGAACTAAACTGGAGTTTTGGGGGGAAATAGTGGAGGGAGGACAGTAGAATGAAAGGATGAGGAGTTGGAAGATAGAAGAGGATAAAGGCGGACAGAGGCAAATAGAAAAAGGTGCCCGTCGACCAACCGAGCGACAGCTGTTTTCATCATGTCACAGATGAGCTTATAGATGGGTGATTTGATTAGGAGAGCTAGGCTTCCCCCTCCTTCTCACAGGCAGGGTGACCGCCGGTCGGTGACTGGAGAGTAATCAAAGAGGAGATTGTGGGATGAGCGTTGGGTCATCTGAGGATGACAGGCTCTGGAGGCAAATGGTGACAGTGGATTTGACCCCCGCGGGGCAGAGCAGGGCTGGCTGGCTGGGCTGGCTGGGTGAGTGAGGTTTAGGGAGATTTACCTCATCGTCTCAGGCTGTATCTAAACGGTGTCATGATCAAGATTAGAGGTTAGATTGGAGTACACAACAGATTACGTGGTCATATCAATCTGTTGAACACAACATATTGTTCTAGATTTACATTAGTGGTAAACAAGGGGATAAATATCTAGGATCAGTCGAAAGTCAATCCATGAACAAAGTCAGAGAGAACGTGATGAATCATCTGAATACAATTCACATCAATTTGGTAATACAAATAATGGAATCAAGCAGACAAAGTAGCCTGAATTCTTTACACTTTTCCACATATCATAAAGTGACTAAATAACCACATCAAGGACTGTACTACAGCATTTTTCTTTCTTCCCGTCTCTATTTGGTGGATGTTTCTTAAATTAATGAAAACTGATCACCCTGTTGATCCAATTAAGCAATAAGGCCCGAAGGGGTGTGGTATTTGGCCAATATACCACGGCTAAGGGCTGTTCTTACACACGATGCAACGCGGAGTGCCTGGATACAGCCCTTAGCCGTGGTATATTGGCAATATACCACAAACCCCCGAGGTGCCTTATTGCTATTATAAACTGGTTACCAACGTAATTAGAGCAGTAAAAATACATGTTTTGTCATACCCGTGGTATACGGTCTGATATACCACGGCTGTCAGCCAATCAGCATTCAGGGCTCGAACCACACAGTTTATAATGGTATATAAATCCCAAACATCAGTCAGTCCTTGTGTCTGTCTACACCACACCTGTTTAACACGGTTTCCTCTCCTTAAGCCAGTCGACCCAGACAGCACTGCCTTTCAAATTCCTCTGCTCCATCGCTTTAATGTTTCCAATTAGTCCCCACAGTCCTACGGCTAAACAGCCTCACCAAGCGTCACCAAGGCTCGTGGCAACAAATGCCTTCAGAGGTCTATAATCTAGAAAACCTTCGACACTCCTTGGGGTTGTTTGTTCTTCATAGGTTTTCTATGTGGGGTGGCTGATACAACAACAATCTCTCTCTGCCCTTAGACACAAATCAGAAACCAAAGCAAACCGGTTAACCTCTCCATTTTTCACACAAACAGTATTCATCCAAAAGTCTAGATTTTTCTGTCTCATCAGTCGTTTAAACAGTAACACACAACATTAACTGTATAACAGGATATATCTGATCAGGTTATTATGGATTGTGTTGGACTAAACAGATTATATTTGTCCTCCAGTATAAAAAAGTTACCATCTTCAACCGGTTGCGAAAACGTCCAGTTGCATTTGAACTTTGTCAAAGGAACGTTTCAAACAGGATATCCTGCCATCTGCTCCTCCAGCAGACTCATTCCAGGAGTCAGTCACTTGAGACCTGAGCTGACTGCCTACTTCTTCACACGGAGCCACATCAATGCCTTTTAAAAGTAGCCAAAAAAGAACAACCTTTTCCCAATCAACTTAAAAGTAGCTTCAGTTATCTGTAGTGAGTTAAGGGACTTAATGAAAACCGGCCATCAGTGGGGAGGTCCTAAAGAACGTACAATGCTTTCAAGCTGAGTTGAAACCTGCATTAATATATTTTCATGGAAGAACATTAAAGGAGTCCCTCCTTTTGTCTCTTAACATTAACAATGAAGAACCTGTTCCATAGAAGCCTACATTCCCTTGGTTCCTTCCACATTCCTTTTTTAATGCAGATCTTCTATGTGAGAAAATGAAATAACAATAGACTAATCATGATCAATCTGGTTTCCCTCCCCCTTGAACACCTGACGGCATTCTGTTCTCAAGAGGAAAAGGAACACACGCTGTCTGACAACCTGACAGCCACACAAAGACCTCAGAGAGAACTGGGGTGAATGGGGGAAACTGCAGTTGGGTCCCGGGCAAGGCCTGCCAGAATTTGGCACCTGCTGATCACGTGCACATTTGATTACCCCCTCTGTATTCCCCACCCACTATATATACATCTTTGAGTATTGTTAATACGCTGGTCTGGTCTAGTGTGTGTGTGTGTGTGTGTGTGTGTGTGTGTGTGTGTGTGTGTGTGTGTGTGTGTGTGTATATATACACACACACACACACACACACACCAGACCAGCGTATTGACAATACTCAAAGAAAGTCAATGCCCTGCTGTTCCACCATGATAAATGTGATGGCTTTGTCTCTCACCGCAGGTTTCTGCTGGCTCAGGTCAATCGCTATTAAATTACAAAAGTCCACCTCTCAAAAGCCGATTGATAGATGGATATTGCAAACACACAAACCACAAAGAGCCCTCCATTGCTTTCACAAACCCACCAGTTGTGCAGACCAAAAAGGGCTTTTAGGTTGTTGAGAGTTTTTATTTGTGCATTTGCAAATTCATTTGGGCTCTCAGTAACGCCACAAACTCTCCAGATGATTTGAGCGCATTGAGAGCTTGGACTGAGTGAACATTTCTGAGAGCGACAGAGCAACATAAAAATACCTATACAGAAATATCTTCTGGTATTTCTCCCCCATTTGTTTCTCTGAGCGTTTTATATTTTCAAAGAGCTGGACTAACTGTGTTTGGAAAAGGACCGCGGGCATGTTGGGGGATTGTCGGCCATGCATATAATCGCTTACTTACACTCTGTGAGTTTGCTTTGGATCAGGCAAATTACCATCTGAAAATGAGCTGAAAAACACTCTGGGCGAGAGGCCTGCGTCATCCATGGCAGCTCACTTTCAGTACTTCTTACCGCAGCAAATATACAGGGAAACATAGAGAGATACACACAAACATACAAACACACACCCTGCTCAGACACTTTAGTTGCATCATTGCTTTCAATGTACTTAAAAATGAAAGATAAAAAAATACTCTAAATACTATAAACAAACCTTACTCTTAATCTTGGCACAAAATCTGGCTATATATGTGGTAACGCATTATCATGATGTTGAATGTTAAACCTGTCACTGTGAGGGAATATGCGCTTCCAGCATAAAGTGGACTCAAATCACATAATACACTCGCTCTAATTGGGAAGGCCATAAAATAAAGTCTGCGTGACACAATTACTGCAGGCAGGGTCACACAAACACTCTCACACACAAGTTTCATGGACAGGGAGACGTAGGCTTAAATAATTAGCTATAATATGCCACAAGAGTATGCTCAGAACAATATGTGCACTTGGGTGAGCGGCGGAGACTGCTTTCATCTTTTGCACTGTGTTCGGTCACCCCCGAGAATGGCAAGGCTTGAAAGAAAGCACAGGAATCGCTAAAAACCTGCATCATATGTTTATGAATTTCTATTCAATAAATGCCATGCCGCTCCCATGAAAATATGGGCATTATGGTTTTGCTTAAAATGGGATATCATGAAAGAAATTCCAGCTGTGATACATAAGAGAATTGTTCAAGCAGCAACACCAACATTGGATTGACACGCACACACCTGTGTGGCCGCTACTTAGAAAAAGGTCTTTGTCTGAATACCTTTGGTGTTTCAATGTTAATATTCTAATTTAAACTATTATGATGTCGTCGCTTTCATGTGAAGAAGTGGCTGCTGTTGATTTGGTCTCTAATAGGAAGCAGACCCTCACTGTTGCATCGAGGTTTGGAGCACTTAGCAGCTAGCGCATTGTTTTGGAACAGAGCAATAAAAAAGCACCACCCCTCATCACTGAGCCGAGACAACAGCTTATAAAGAGACGCCTGGATCCAATCGATCCACCATGACAGTTGTTTTCTAATCTATGTGCATGTCATTTTATTTACAAATGTAAACTCATTATTTGGTATTAGCTGAAGTGAATGTCTAAGTACATTTTGTGGTAACAATGGATATTTTCTGGCGCATTAGTTGAAATAATTCATCTAGCAAATAGTATTGCTTGATTCAATATATTCCTTAACCACAATGTCATAATTAGATAATTATGAGTTTTTTCTTCTTTTTTATATGTTCCCTATACTGATGAAGCGCTTAAATCAATCCAAAGAGATAAAGAAAAACCCCTCTCCTCCTAAAAGGTTGCCACCTCTGACCATCTCACCCAAACACATCAACATCTGTAATGTTACATCAACATCTGTAATGTATACATAGGCTATGTTACGTAGAGAGTGATAGATAGGCCTTAACGAAAACACGAAACAGGATATTAAAGCTCCGTAGTCACTACTAAAATTGACTCTTACACAACTAACTTCTCTCCAGTCAGTCAGATTGCCATTAACCATGCTCCCAAACCCGATCAGCTCTCTGGGCCGGATTAAAAGCCTGCAACTCTCTCTCTCTTCCTCTCTCCACTCTGCTTTATTTAATCAGTGGCCTGGTTATCCCTAGAAGGCAAATTACTGTAGCCAGGGATGATGACACTGACCTTGTGACATGGGGGAATTGGATGGGGAAGTGGAGGACCCGACACTTTGGGCGTATGCGCTTGTCCAGGTCTTTGGGCCTGTGGTCGGGGATCATCTTCATGAAGGACGAAATGGAGGACAGGAAAGACTCCATATTGAAAGAAGAGTTGAACGTCACCACATCTGCCACCAAGCTGGGGGGAAGGAAAAGAAGAGGGTACACACACAGTCAGTGACACACACACGTACGTACACACACAAAGTGACACTGCTTCATTTGCAGATTCGGTGTGTGCAACATGGAACGATTCAGCATAGTCTGCATTTATCAGTACAGTCTTAAATGGCTCCCATTCTCTTCCATTAGAACGAAAGCCCTGCATTATAATTCAAATTAGCAAAGCAATCTGGCTTGAATCCAATCAAACATCTCTTAATGATCCATTCCCTTTGAGTAGCATATTATTTAATGCTGCCATATTTGACTGGGTTAATGACATTAAAGTAGATTGAGTGGGCCTTGCAGAACTGACTTATTGACGCGTTGCCCTATGCAGATCAACAACAATCACTTTTCTTTAGAGTGCCTCTCTCTTTACTGTTCGCCTTCTGATTAATGACAGCCCAGTCACTCGACAAGAGTGACTTCAATTACCCAGAGGGCATCATGTCGGCCTGCCGTAATTAACCAATCATGTTGCGCCCCAGACATGCTCATTAAGACAAACTATTACCGTATGAATAGTGTGTTGTTTGTTTATTTTAAATACACAAACAAACAGACCAATTATGCGTGTTGCTCATCGTCTTTGCTTGTTACGACCTCTTGTTGCTACTGTTAACTGTGATAATAACGTACACACACTGTGCACTAGATAGATTGTGTACTTTATTATACATTGTGTACTGCACACTCAAAGCAGGGCCGGTCTTTACCATGAGAGGACCTGGTTGTATCCGTACTGGAAGTCTCTGTCCTGGCTCTTGCGGACCGGATAGACCAGCTGGTTCTCGTGGAAGTAGAGCACCTTCTTCAGTGTGGCCAGGTCAGGACGCAGGGCCACCAGTTCAGACAGGTTCAGCACAGAACTGGCAAACAGGACCCTGAGGACCAGAACACAGCACAGGGGGTCAGGATGGTGAGGGTGAGTTCATCTATCTGCAAATACAGTGCATTCAGAAAGTATTCAGACCCCTTGACTTTTTCCACATTTTGTTACGTTACAGCCTTATTCTAAAACTGATTTAAAAAATAAAATAATCCTCATCAATCTACACACAATACCCCATAATGACAAAGCGAAAACAGGTTTTTAGACATTTTTGCAAATGTATTAAAAATTAAAAACAGAAATACCTTATTTACATAAGTATACAGACCCTTTGCTATGAGACTCGAAATTGAGCTCAGGTGCATCCTGTTTCCATTGATCATCCTTGAGATGTTTCTACAACTTGAGTCCACCTGTGGTAAATTCAATTGATTGGACATGATATGGACAGGCACACACCTGTCTATATAAAGGTCCCACAGTTGACAGTGCATGTCAGAGCAAAAAGCAAGCCATGAGGTCAAAGGAATTGTCTATAGAGCTCCAAGACAGGATTAGGTCGAGGCACAGATCTGGGGAAGGTTACCAAAAAATGTGTGCAGCATTGAAGGTCCTCAAGAACACAGTTCTTAAATGGAAGAAGTTTGGAACTACCAAGCCTCTTCCTAGAGCTGTCCGCCCGGCCAAACTGAACAATCGGGGGAGAAGCGCCTTGGTCAGGGAGGAGTTCAAGAACCCAATGGTCACTCTGACAGAGCTCCATAGTTCCTCTGTGAAGATGGGAGATCCTTCCAGTAGGACAACCATCTCTGCAGCACTCCACCAATCAGGCCTTTATGGTAGAGTGGCCAGACGGAAGCCACTCCTCAGTAAAAGGCACATGACAGCACGCTTGGAGTTTGCCAAAAGGCACCTAAAGACTCTCAGACCATGAGAAACAAGATTATCTGGTCTGCTAAATGATGTAAATGTAAATGTAATGAAACCAAGATTGAACTCTTTGGCCTGAATACCAAGCATCAAGTCTGGAGGAAACCTGGTACCATCCCTACGGTGAAGCATGGTGGTGGCAGCATCATGCTGTGGGGATGTTTTTCAGCGGCAGGGACTGGGAGACTAGTCAGGATCGAGGGAAAGATGAACGGAGCAAAGTACATAGAGATCCTTGATGAAAACCTGCTCCAGAGTGTTCACGACCTCAGACTGGGGCGAAGGTTTACCTTCCAACAGGACAACGACCCTAAGCACACAGCCAAGACAACGCAGGAGTGGCTTCGGGAAAAGTCTCTGAATGTCCAGCCAGAGCCCGGACTTGAACCCGATCAAACATCTCTGGAGAGACCTGAAAATAGCTGTGCAGCGACGCTCCCCATCCAACCTGACAGAGCTTAAGAGGATCTGCAGAGAAGAATGGGAGAAACTCCCCAAATACAGGTGTGCCAAGCTTATAGCATCATCCCCAAGAAGACTCAAGGCTGTAATTGCTGACAAAGGTGCTTTAACAAAGTACTGAGTAAAGGGTCTGAATACTTATGCAAATGTGATATCTGTTTTTTATTTTTAATACATTTGCAAAAAATTCAAAAACCTGTTTTTTCTTTGTCATTATGGGGTATTGTGTGTAGATTGGTGAGGAAAAAAACAATTTAATCAATTTAAGAATAAGGCTGTAACGTAACAAAATGTGGAAAAAGTAAAGGGGTCTGAATACTTTCCGAATGCACTGTACATTAATGTCTAACAAACGCCGGGCCTTACTTCCATATCTTCGTGCTTACTAATGTCTGACTAAAATGAAACGCTGGGAGGTGAGGGATAGCTCTCTTTTTAGCCGAGCTATATCAGACTTGAATGTCCCCACTGCTGCCAATGCCAACCACTAAAATGCCTTTCATCCATTAAAGGGATAAATCCTGCTAAATACCACCCATTGATCGTAACCAGTAGGTAAAATAGTAACATCACCAAAATCGAATAATTTCCCAAGCAGGATAATCCACCCAGCCCTGCCCAGCTCTCCTGCAGCCTCTCAGACAATGCAGCATTTCCACCGCAGCCCTCTAAAAGCATATCTCTCTCTCTCCGTCTCCCTCTGCGGCGTCTCTGTATCTGTTGCGTGCTCAGCGGTGAGGCTTTGAAGCTCCAGCATCTCCCTACGTGACCCCATCCTCCACTTCAAGCCTTGGCCCATCCCTTCATCAGTCAGTCAGTCTCCTTTACCCATGAGCGAGGAATCTTTGATGTGGCTGAGTCCACGAGCCATCGTTAAGATCACGTCCCCGTGTGCCTCTCAGACATGGGATTAGCCCAATTTCCTAGACTGTTTGGGCCTTCGATCAAAACTAAAAGAGGCCTACAGGACTGCATGTTACAGAAATCACCCTCACCCCCTAAACTCTGTCGGTAATGCAGGGCTCTGACTCAAACCAGATGAGAGTTCTCTATTTTTACCTTTTTCCTGCCAAGAATAGTCCACAGGGACATCCTGTGTAGTTAAGAATTAGACGCACTCAAACTGCAGGACTTACTTAAAGTATCCCTTCAGTGGAGATGGATTTTTTTTTTTTACTTTACCTTTTTCATATAAATAAGTAGAACATTTTGATTTGTTATGTGCTGAATTACCACTTGTCGTCCCATAGAGGGAACATCAAATATCTAATTCTGCAAAATCCAAAATGGCAACAAACAGCAGAACCGAGAAAAGGGGTTGGTTAGTCACTTACTGTATGAGATATTACTTAGCCACATGACATGCCATGATGTACCAAGCCACCAGAGGTGGGACCAAGTCACGATTATTCAAGTCTCAAGATCCAGTCCCAAATAGTCCCAAATAGAACTGGTTGAGTCTTGAGTCAAGTCCAAGTCGTGCATTCTAAGAGCAAGTCAAATCGAGTCACAAGTTTTTTTCAAGTCAAGTAAAATAAAAAATCTATACAGGCAATGAGTTGTTCAACTACATTTTCCCTGACACACAAAAGTACTCATTACATTTTGAATGCTTAGCAGGACAGGATAATGGTCCAATTCACACACTTATCAAGAGAACATCCCTGGTTATCTCTACTGCCTCTGATCTGGTGGACTCACTAAACACAAATGCTTTGTAAATTATGTGCCCCTGGCTATCCGTACTTATATATATTGTGCTGTCTGGCTTTCTTAATATAAGATATTTATACTTTTACTTTTGATACTTAAGTATATTTTAGCAATTACATTTACTTTTGATACATAAGTATATTTCAAACCAAATATTTGTAGACTTTTACTCAAGTAGTATTTTATTGGGTGACTTTTACTTGAGTCATTTTCTATTAAGGTATCTTTACTTTTACTCGAGTATGACTATTGGGTACTTTTTCCACCACTGTTATTGACCAAACAACTTTTGGAGCTGCATATTCATTTATGGCAATCCTACAATCTCCCTACAATTTGAAGTTTGCGCTGCACAGCAAATCAGCAATCTGTTCGCTAGCTCAGTGGTTTTCAAAGGTTCTGACCCGCGACCCCCAAAAATGAGTGGTTCAAACTCAAAGTTTGCGACCCCCGCGCACTCACGCGCCCACACGGCGAACACGCGCGCACAATCGCTGCGCAAATGTAGCCTGTCATAACAGCCATAAATGGTGATGCATTTTCCAAACGCAAGATACAGAAATACACTGCGTTTTACACCTGCATTTTGAGCTGAAAGTCATTCATGTTAGCAGTCAATATCAACTAGGGATATCATGACACATTGTCACTTTTTGGAGTCAAGAGCAAGCAGGATCATTACCGCCAACCTGTATGCAGCGGGGCTTGAAGGATCGGATGGAAAGCATGATCTGTCTGTAGCCTTTTTCTTCCTAACAAATATCATAATTAATTCGCCAGAATGTTACATTTTCATCCCATAAGTATTGAAGGTAGTGCGATGTTACAGCTCGCCATCTTTAGTCATAGCCAGTACCACCACTGACGTAAAGAATTTTAACCCACCCAAACTAGGCCTATTTTAAATATGAAAATTATCTATGAAATCACCAGGTAGCCCATTGTTGTGTCAAAGATGCGTCAGTAGCAGATTGCTAAATGGCACTTTATATGGGTAATATTAATGTAGGTAGGCTACTCTGTTTTCGCCTCTGTTTTTGCCAGGCAAAACCGGAAAATAATAAACAAGCGCTTTGCTGGCCGCCTTTGCGCGCCAATTTTGATGACTGATCATTGGTCAACAGTCAAGACCCGCAAGCTTTTCTTTCTGAAGCACAAATTAGATGTTTTTGAAACAATAATTTGGTGCAATGCCGTAGGCCTATGTTAGTGACCAGATCGAATAAGCAAAGGTATAAATATCAAATGGTAGGCTATAATATTATGTAGCCTATTAAAATATGTATTAAAAAACTAATATTTTCCCCATTGAATTTCACACTTGCACCTCTTAAACCTTCCCATTGCACTAGTTCACCCGACCTGTGTTGATTGACAGTTTGCTGGTCCAATCAGAGGGCTGAGTGTGTTTCACCAGCCAATCAGATTTTTTGCAAATGCAATACTGTCTCTGGCTACGTGGAGAATAATCCAAGGAGACTGTGGCACAAAATTAGCGACAAAACGTTACAAAACCTGGCCAGATAATTTCAAGTCATCAGTCTCAAATCAAAATCGAGTCCCGAGTCTTGAAGCTCCAAGTCAAGTCTCAAATTATTTTATTTTCTATCAAGTCATGACATTTGTGACAACAGTCAGACTCGAGTCCACACCTCTGCTAGCCACTATCGATTTGACTACCTGTCTTCATTTTGACTGATGACCTTTTTGAATTTGGAATTCTACTCAAATGTGACATGGCTCGCCCACTGTGTTTCTCCAGTAGCGACTGTTACTGCGGTGTTGCAGAGATGACAGCGAGGGATCAAAACCAGACAAGTACACATCAATCTGAGCGTTAGCCCTGTGTGTGGGTGAGCTGCAGCATCATGCATCGCTTCACCAAATGTATAGTAAATCGCCCTATATTTGCCAATCATCTGTGAAGTACTCCCCAAGCCCTGAATCAAAACAGTTTCTGCAAAGCAGAGTTTATCATCAAATAAAATGATGAATAATAATCATATTGCACCCTCTGGTTTAATGACAGGATAGCTCATTGATCTGGGTTTCCCTAATAAAACATAGATTTAATTCCAAAGTGCAAAGAAAAGATAGCTAAGTACTTTTACACATTGGGTTCTTCCCCTAATAGCAATGTGCAAAAAAACAGAAAACATATTGACACCGAAAAATAGAGAGTGAAAGGTTGGGGACATTTCAAGCAGCTGTGTCTCATTACATATGACCTAAACCCTCTCTGTGGAAGTCAATGACCTAATGGAATCCCAATCTCTGAAGTCTAGTAGTGAGTGATACAAGGGTACCTTAAAATGGCTGACAACCGCATGGCCCACTTTCCATCTCACTGTGCCAAAACAGAGGAATTGGATTTCCCCTTTACAGAGCTCACTGTACATGCAAACTCACAAACAACGTCTCGGAAAGACCAACAAAAAAAGTGTATATTTCGCAATAACAATGACCTAGCAGTCTTAATCAGCACTGTATCAATTCCAACAGTCTTGCTTCTGTGTATACCTGTATGAGGGGCTAGCCGGGATAGCCTGCATGAAGTACAGAGCTGCTGTCCTGGCCCTCCAGTGCCATTTCTTAGCCGGCAGTGTGTAGGCCACGCAGTCTTCCACATTCTCTCTAAGCAGGTCTATCAGCTGTTTGTGGGAGCCACCGTAGAACGCCTCTACCAGTAGCACAGTCATGGATAGGGTATTCTGAATCTGAGGAGAGAAAAATGGATGATAATAATCAAAGACAAAATAACTGCAGTAAGAATAGGGAAATCATTGCTTTCAGAGATTGGCAATGAAGGCCTCCTTGGCAGGGAAAGAGGAAAAGACCAGGTGGATTTTGGGAAGTATAGTCTATTAATTTCCTGTGGGACAAAATAAATCTGACCAGTTGTATCAGTTATGGTACATCTATGGTAAACTGACCTGAAGACATATAAATAGGTTTTCTGTAATTTCTTTTCCAACAAATTTCCTCCCCATGATTTCCAGTTTACTACAGTAAATGTTATGTCCTCCATCTCATTCTTCCATTAAGCTGCCCACAATGGGTAGTAAAGTATTTGCTACACTCATCATTCGCCGACAGACTTTCCAATCAGTCAATATCTTGGTCCCTCTCTCGTTCTTAAATGCAAGTCATATCTTAAGTAGAACATTTGCTATGTAATTTTTTAAACACCACAAAACCTTTTAAAGTTTAAAAGATGGTAGATATGGAGTTCAGTAGAAGGTGAATGTTTTAAAAAGGCAAACAGAAGTTTAGGCCAATTACAAAAATAAATCTTCCTGAAAGCACAATTGTGACCCATTGTAACAAAACGCTTAATGGAAAACCAAGATATATTGGCAGCATTAAATTTGTAAACAAAATCTAAATGTTTAGATGACATATTGACATCTCTGACCTACTGTGTGACTCTTGCCAAGCACAGAGCAGCATGCAAGCTTTCATATAATGTTTTTAAATGATGTAGATAGACAATGGACCATTACTGTATGGCATAACAACAGCTAACAGAAGACAAACATCTCATCTGGAATAGAACACGAAACAACAAGTTTTCGACCACATCTCCGGGGGGATTTCCAACCTTACCACCATTCATTGCAAAATGGACCAATTGATGATCAAATCTCTCCTCACCTTTCGCCCACCTTTTCAGAGTATTCAGGTTATTGACACCATTCCACCTAAATGGCAGAAATTAACTGAAAGGGTTAATGTCACCATTCTCTCCCCCACACACTGATGTGACAGGGAATCCCCAACGCACCAAACCACTCAGGAATTAATAACACGGTAATGACACTGTGAATGCTGACAAGTCATTTCACTACCTGACCAGTCTGACTGGAGACTCTCAGATAGGCTTAGTCATTAAACCGAAACACCATTTCAGTCTGGAAACAAAACAACATGACAAAAAGTGAATATTGGAACATAATTGGAAGGTACATATTGGAACATTATTTTTTCTACCCCTGGCTCATTGTTGTTGTTGGCTTTTCTAATATTTAGCACAACGCCCTTACATTTAGAATTTAGCTTCACATCCTCAATGTCACTGAAAACATTGCCAGAGTATAGGGCGACTATAGTACATATTAACTCTCTACGAAAAATCGAAGAGGAAAATCAGCCAATAATCACCACAGCTTTATAAATTATGTGTGTGTGTATCCTGGCAAAACACACTGAAGTGCATAACACCCCCCTCACCACACACACACACACACACACTCACACACATCACCCTGAGGTGCAAAGGGATTTCATGCAGAAATACAGGATTTACATAGGCCTAGATAGCAAGGGTGGGGGGAGGCAGCCAGCATTTCCTTATAAAAATGTATAAAAACGTCACTGTGAGGACCAATCGTGACCATTAAAGTCATCACCAGAAGAACTACCCCCATTGTGCCCTTGGGGGTAGCAGGCACAGGGTTGGATGGGATTGCAATGACCGGCGACAAACACAGATCGCTGGAGCGTGCGTGCCAGATTCCGACACCTCCCTTTTGGTCCCTTCGGCCATTCAGGGTTTAAGCATGCATTCTGTCTGTGTGTGTCTGTGTGTGTGTCTGTGTGTGTGGGCATCATCTTGGATGGGGGCTGACAGGGAGGAGGCTAGCTCCGTTACGTTCTCTTGGAGGATTTATTTATCCTAAACATGGGATCTGATGAGATATCCCCTCAGATACTGTAGCAGCTGAGAACATGGCAGATTGAGGCTAAGGCTAACTAAAGTTCAGTCCTATTGAGCACTGTGCGGAAGGTAGTTAGGGTTGAGGGCCCACTTGATCAACCAGCTAGGTGGCAAATGTAGTAAATACTAACACGTATAAGATAAAGGCTACATAACATTTATTACACATCAAAATATTTTTTTTTACTAGACATTAACATGAACTGTAGTCTGACATCTGGGAAAATATTTTAACAAATAGGTTAGCCTCTGTCATTTCATGTTCCTTTAATCTGGATAAAATGCATGGCACCAAATGTATTCGAGAGCAAATGTCTTATGATTGAAATGTTTTGGGAGATGACATACTTGAAAGACTACACTCCTAGTGTATTGAATTGTTCACCCTGATTTTATCTGTGGGCTATAATTGAGTTGTAGGTCATAGAAGCATTTTCTATTTTCCCCCATTGGTGTAAATGGCAATAATATTCACAGATATATTAGGATCAGTGCTCAATGAGCAAAACAGAGGGTAATATTGTGTCCTAAAAACCTTTTCATTCAGTGTTCTTATAACAGGCCTTTCAGTTTGACAATGCAAATGTAAGCAGCTTCGCACATCGAGCAAGGAATGTGTAATGCTATTCATAACTCCTTTGATCTCATATTAGAAAAGGGGAGGAAGCTCCCATTTTCCACGGATTAAGGTTTCAAAGCGGTGAAATGAGTGAGAAGTGACTTTCCTTCTTTTAATTGAGGGAGTCGTGCCCTTGTACTTCACAAGCGCAGGCTTTACGTAAAAGCAAATCATTTAAGGATCCACTGAAAGGGACTACAGCTATAATTATAGGCACATGGACATGTGCTAATCTCTCTGTGCTGCCTTGGATGGGGAGAAGGAGAAGGCACAGTGATACGCACAATATCCAGGAAAATGAAAAGGCAGGCAGGCAGCACAGCAGTCCAATATAGAACTTTACAGACTTCATATGACAAACTCAAATGAAATTATCTATCTACCACACTCAATAACATCAGATCTCATTTGGTAAATTAGCCTACCTGTGAGCCATGAATGTGCTATTATATGTACTATTGCTGGTTATTAAAATCATACTGTATCTGTCAAAATATGATTTGTCATGCAGCTGACTGATCACACTTTCAGGCATTCTAGCCCACTGAATGAAATAAAGCTTTTTTTACATGGTGTAGGCAATTTTCAGGACTTTGGGTGGCCTTGTAAATGTAGAGCATCCCTTTGAAGTAGGCCTCAAGAAGCTTACTCATTTAAAACCACATCACTGGTGACTGTTTCACTGTTGAGCTACTGTAGTGAGAAAAATAAAAATGTTCTTGAGTAACACAGTAAGAAAACTGTAATAAATGACAATACTTTTCTCTGTACTTGTGACTAGTGCTTGAAACACATGGGTAGAGATCTATTTAGATTTCGTATGAAATGTAAGACAGTAGAGTATGGGAAACTATTTCACCTACTAAATGGAGAATCAGCCTTTCCATTCAGTCATTAAAATGTGCAACATTATTGCAACAGTTAAAACTGGCCAGTTATGAATTTAATACGTAAAATACTAGCTCTGTGTGCGCATGCGTCTGTGCGCTACATCGGATGCACACACAGCCAATGGCTAATCTGTGACAGCTCGTAGTAACCTAGCCATACAACTAAAAATAGCGGTAAACAAAATGTTCTCAAAACAAGTAGTTTATTTCGTATTTTGGAGAAATAGCAGCTGCCACATAGAGAGAACAGTTCTTCTGCACTCTATTATCATCTTTACTTTGGTGTGTTGAGTACATTAAATCCAGTCACTAAACATACTGTTCAATGATTTCGTCTATGGCCTTTACCGCTCAAAGATGCAGAAAGCTAATCTGTAGTAAACCGTACTAACGCCCTACTGGACCAAAGGAGCTAGATTGTACAGTACCCAACATCTCATTTGACACACTAATTTAATCCGTAACCATATCTGTCATCGAAGACATATAGCCTACAGTGTCGATATGCAAATGTATTTTTTTTTCTTCTTCTCCTCACTAAATACAAATGAATGTAGATATAACGCCTCGCACAAGGTAAAGCATTTGAAACAACGTGCTATGCATGGCAGTGTTCGTTTGTGTCAGCGTGTGGAATGAACACTCACCTCTTCCTGAATATGCTTGCTACAAAAAAAAACGCACGTCTTTCGTCCATGCGTGATGCCGTCATTTTAGGAACGCCTCTCAACCGGTCTACACTATTTACCACATTCACAAAGTCATAAACACCGCCTATTTCTACAATTTATTTTCTTAAAATGTGATTTTAAACCTAACACTAACACTAACCGTAACCACGCTGCTAACCTTATGCCTAACCCTAACTTTTAAATTAAGAACAAAAAAATATGTTTTGTTTTCATGAATTTCTACGATATAGCCCATTTGACTTTGTGGCTGTGGTAACTAGTGGAAACCCTCTCACCTTGCTGGTTGCTTGATCAGAGCAATCCGGGATCCTTGGGACGTCCCTACTCTAAACTCTAACCTTAACCCCTACCATACCCTACCCTAAACTTAACCATAACCCTTACCTAACCTTAACCTTTACCTTAACCATTTTAAATGTCAACTTCAACGGGGTAGGGATGTCCCAAGGATTCCAGATAGCACAGACCCTGGTTGCATAGGTCTTCAGTGGCTTGAGAGATAGAGAGCTTTCTCACACAGTATTTTGACAATTCTGTCAATGGGGAATTTTGCTAGGCTACTTGTGAGCATATTCTCTGCGTGTGTGTGTGTGTGCGTGTGTGTGTGTGTGTGTGTGTGTGTGTGTGTGTGTGTGTGTCTAACGCGATTAACTCTTCACCTGCTTCTATTTGCATTTCATTATGTGAGTTCAATTAGTAAGGTCATGTAATTCTTCTGAGATCCTGTGCAAACAGTTCATTGCCAGTTTGGCTGTCTGCTGCTGGTGACAATTTTAGCTCATCCTAGTTTTTTTTTCTCAAACTTTAAAAAGGCAAAAGTAATTTTAAAGTCTATCACACACAGCCTCTAAGAAATCTGGTACATAAAGTAAAATCCACATCAGAAGGTAACCCAGCAATAAATTATATTTGAGATGGATACTTGAGATTATTCTTCCTAATTTTATAGTAAAGTAAAAGGCTGTAATAATGAGTTTATGTTAATTAGGAACTTTCCCTGAATAGAACATGAAACTAAAGCTTGGAAAATGTCTACAGTACTTTTGAAAATGTTTCCCTTTGAAAGTGCTAGTAAATGTTTTTGAATGTTCTATCATATTGGCATGTTCAAATTTAATTAATATTACATTGTAAAGTTAAACAAAAACACAACACACTAATGCTTCCTACTTTCACATGCTATGTTAGAAAGTCTCCACATGCTGTACTGTGACATTGTCACTTCAATTTTATGTGCTGTCTAGTTAGGACAACCAATAATCTAGACAATAATGACCTTAATAAAAATGGTATAAACATGAGACTGCTATACTCCAAATATACATGATCACTGTTATATTGTTAATACATAGAAGTAGTTCAAGTACAAGAAGAATAACACAGCTTTATTCAAATTTAATTTGGCTACATTTATTCGAGCATGGTCATTTCCAAGAGAAATTAAAAATTCAATAATACTTCAGACATTTCAGGAATTTTTCATCATCAACAGTCCCTCTATCTTCATCTCTTTACTTGGATGAATAAAGTGGATTTTTATTGTCAAAAAATACAGTGTTTTCACAATATTGTATCAAAAGTTCCCCAAATTTAGAATTTCCAGTAGTTGAAAGGAAATAAAACAATAAGAACAAAATTTCAAATTTTAACAATGAATGTTTTTCCAAATACCATAGAATGCTCTCTATTTATAATTTGCTCCAATAGTCAATGACAGAATCCTTTACTAAAATATATCTATTTGTTGAGGAACTATAATACTGTACACTACAGTATGAAATAAATAAAATTAGGAAATATAAAATGAGTCACATAAATAAAACGGTAATCTTAAAATAAAAACTACATGTAATTTATGCTTGGAAAAAAAATCAACAAAAACAAAAAGTAATACTGACAAAAGGTCATGAAAAAAATACAGAAAATTGCACAAACATAAGTAAACTAACGAACTGCTGTCTCTATCTATGCTAATACTGACATAGGTACTTGGAAAACAAGGTGAAATATTCATTTAATACTGAAGCCAGAGCAAAGAAAACACAAGTCAACTCTGATTTACACTGTACAAGGATGGCACTTGCAGAAATGCACAGGTGAAAAGGTTTGCATATAAGGCTTTCTGTTGAGAAAATAAAACATACAAAGGCTCTGTCTTATGTACGGAGCCCTCCATATTTCACTATTCTCTCCTTCATTCTGTCACTCCATTCCGGTCCAATTTAAGACTCACAACATATCAAATTCACACAGGTTTAAAGTTTCCTTCACATAAAGACATTTGTGAGGCCCAAAATTGTGTGGTTAGTTTGCCTGGCAAAAAGGATGGTAGAACCAAGGACATCACAGTAAGTGGTAGACAAAGTACAACACTGATGGACTGCTACCGAGTCTTCAAGCACGGTATAAATATACATAGCCTTTTTTTTTTCTTCAAAAAATGTTTTTGTAGTGATTAAAGGGGCAGAGTGCAATTTCCTAGTTTGGGGTATTAACACAATGAAACACAAGGGTTAAGAACATTATAGCACCACACAGCTTTCAGGCCTTATTTAATACTGTACATTAAAAACAGCTTCATTTCATTTTTAATTATAATGATAATCATTATTACTTCGTTTTTTGTTGTTGTTGCATAATGTGGATTCTTAAACAATCCCACCCAGCTTGTCGTCACAACTCTGATGTTGGCTGTCACCACATTGCATGAGTCCATCATTATGAGCTTCTGAGAAGCTAGAGGCAAGCGCTCGCGCTTGCATATCTGAGCCACCGCAGTGCCTATCTAAAAACAAAGCAAGTTTCATGTTTGCTGGAAGAATGGAAAAAGGAAATGAAACAAACCAACATCACAAATATTTGCTGAAAGATTTTTTTCAAATGACTGCAGTATTGACTTAATCTGCTTCCTCCTGGTCCGACTTGGTGTCTGTTTTCCCTTCTCTTGAACTCTCATCCATTGAATGCTCTGCATCTTTCCCCTCGTCATTCCTCTCCGTGTCCATCCTGCTGTCATCCTCGTCCTCTCCTTCCCTGAAACTTCCTGCCTCTCGCCTGTCTGTCACCTCCTCATACGTCTCGTCCACTTCCCTCTCTCCTCGTCCTCCCCTCATCCCTCCTTCAGTGCCGTCCCTCAGGATGGTGCCACCCCCATCCTCCGGCTGGTCCTCGGGGTCCGAGTAGCCCAGCGGCCCCAGACCCTGCAGGTAGGCCCTCCTCATCAGCAACTCTGTGGGCTCCAGGGGGCCCTTATCCCGGGCCTCCCTCTCAGCCGCCTCCCTTTCCTCGGCCTCCCTCTTGCAGTAGGAGTAGCGGTGGTTCATGTGCTGGGAGTAGGAGCCTGAGTGAGAGAAGCGCTTGCCACACTTGTCGCATTGGTATGGCTTTTCGCCCGAGTGCAGGCGCGAGTGCTCGATAAGGTGGTGCTTATGTTTGAAGGCCTTCTTACAGATCATGCACTGGTGTGGCCGCTTGCCTGCAGAGACACAGGAGACAGGGGAGAGAAAGTGTTACTTCGGTGTTACTGTGGTCGCCTTCTCTAGAAACAAAGAACAGTACAAAAGGAAGATAGACAGTTATTCAGGAGAACAGACATACAGTAGACATGCAATATTAGAGTAACTTTGATCTGACATTGGCACAGAATGTATTGATCATGTTAAGTGCATCTTGAGTGTAAAAGCATTTATATCATATATCAGGATTTCTTCATTCCCTCCCATCATGGTGAAAATAATTAACAACACAAGAAAATAATGATAGGAATGGGTAATGTTGTGATTGTACAAATAAATACAAGTACATTTCTGAAAACAAAATAAAGCGTTGAAAGTAACCCTACATTTATGGTTGACCACCTAACCTTAGAGCTAATTTCAGTTGCTGCTAGATAACACTGGGGGGAGGCAGGTGGAAATAAGAACCCAAACACACTATGATGGGGTCGTCTGCGACTGCGGCGGGGCCGGTGAGCAGCGAGCTAAGCCAGTGAGTTCAGATGTTTAGAACACCAAGCAAGGTGAAACTGAAGCAGCCTGGCACCAGTGACAGAGTGTGTTGTCATGACATCATAGGTACAGATTAGGAATCCTTCGCGTGATAGTGTGACGGTTATATTTGTAGGAGGAGGAACTTCACACCACTAGCCCCCCTTCCCTTCCCTGTCCCGCCCCCGCACCATGCAGCTCCTCGCACTAAACGTTTACTACAACTCAGTGGCGCCACCAGAAATATATTCCCTTCCATCTGACTTCTATTAGACAAGCTGGGCCTCTCTAATGCCAGTTCAATCGGCCCATATAATAGCACTCTTCCAAAGCTCACATCTCACACACACATGCACAAACGCCTCCCATCTTACGAATGCCAATACACATACAGTACACACATGCGAACAGCCATGCAATGGAATGCACGCACACACACAGGCGATTCCTAGCCACAAATAGCCTTGGAATGCCTGCGACATCTTCCATAGTTGGCATTCTTGAAGTGCCCCCCATCCTCGCCCTCCCCACCACCCCCACAGTGGTGCAAAAATAGACGAAACAGCGAATTCCTCATGGAGCGTTCCTGCACAGAGTGACAGGGGATGATGCAACCTGATGAAAGAGAGGAGTCCCCAGGAAGAGAGGTCACATCTTTGAAGATAATTTCAATAAGAACCAGAAATGCCATACAGGCAAGCCTTCTATTCGACCTGGCATTCTGTTAAATACCACTAGGGTCAATGCAGTAATTCTTGTCCCTGTCACTGAAGGCACTGTGTATGTACTGTATGAACTTTAAAAAGACAGTCCCTCTTGAAGCGGCAAGTTTGTTTCCAAAATGGCCACTGGTCCTGTTACTTCTGGAGACCATCTGATAATGTCTGGAGTCAGAAAGACTATGCAACTACTAGGGTGTCTGTGACAAATGCAATGACGCTTACGTCTACTTTACTGAACGTTTATGTAACCCCTGTCATATCAAAACATCTCACTATTCCCCACCCCCTGTCAAAAAGAAAGGAACATGTTAGGTCATGAATCTGAACACAAACAACGTAAAAATATGTGAAAGAGAAGAGAGAAAATAAGAACTAAGATGGGAGAAAAAGCTATGTGATCAAGAACAAAAAAAGGTAATAAAAAAAGGTAATAAAAAAGATAGCTTTCAAAAGACACAAAACATGGAGGGGGATGGGCACAAAGGTGAAGAGGGGGGATGGGGTAAAAAAGAAGTGTCCAAATGTTATATACCTGTGTGCTCATATTTGTGTCTTAGGAGGGAACTGGTCTTCTGGAATGTTTTGTCGCACAAGTCACACGCGTACATACCACTTTCTGTCTTTTTAATCTTCTTCCGGGAGAGGAGCGATTCGTCTGTCAGGTCCTCCAGGCCTGACAGATAGTCCGCAGTGCCGTCCAGTAGCTCCCCCTATGAGATGAGAGAGGCAGATTTTTCAATTATTTGTACGTAATCCACACCTGTCACCTAAACATAGACACCTTCTGCTCTGAGTTTGATCCCAAGTCTGGACAGGGCTTAGCCGTCGATCCGTGCAACCTGTGTAAGACCCTTCTTACTGCCCAGGAGAGGAGACATAAAAAGGGGAACATATGGGCTTTTTAATTCTGTGTTGTGGATTTTTTGTGTGGAGTGGAAGTATTAACAAAACAGACAAAAACACTATTTTACAGAAAACAATTACATTACAAAAACGTAAAATCTAAAACATTTTATTTGTTTTGTGTTGAGTGTAACTGTATCCATTAGACACTAATTTAAAAGGGCAACATTGTTATTGTGAACGTCTTACTAAATATTGACTTTAGTGAATGGATCTAAAACCACAAAAGGGCTTGCATACCTGGAAACCTGGTTTCCGTTGATACTTCCTCGACCTCTGTTGCATTTCAGCAAATGTGGCCGCCCCAGTTGCAAAAGTGTAGGCCATGTGGGGCAGGAAGCTCATTGGATCCAGCCCTGGGTATGGCCTCAGGCCTGGGATGCTGGCCTGGGCCTGCATGAAGCTGTGCGGGGGGAACGCTCCATGTGGGGGCAGAGGTGTGTACATGTGACCACCACCGAAGGGGTTGATGCCAAAGATGGGGCTGGCACTCTTTTCCATCAGGTGGCCGCTGTTCCCTCCGTTGTCTCTCCCTGAGCCCAGGAACTCCTTCTTGATGTGGGCCAAGTCCATGGGCTCAGTCCCCTGCTCCCGGTTGGATTGGTGGTGGTCACTATTGCGGTCTGAGACATAGCCGTTTGGTTTGGACCTCTTTTCTCCCAGTGAGATGCTCTTGCTCATCATGTGTTTTGGTAGAGAAAGGTCCAATGGTGCGTCCCCCCCATGGCCGTCCCCTTCAGAGGCCAGGCTGTTTGGAGTGTACGAGTTGCTCTGTGAGTTTTTAGAAGAAGTGGAGGAGAGATTAAGAGGAGATGGCGTGCTGCTCCTAAGGTGGTCCAAGGTGTCTAGTGGTTTGTCACCCATCTGCCTGTTGGCTGTAAACTGGTTGGCCTTTAAATGTCTGTGGGGAGCGTCACGGTCACCGTTGGTGTTAACGCTGTGTAAATCCGCGAGTGCCATAATGCGGTCCACGTGTTGCGCCATGGACATCGGCGACCTGGCCAGGCTGTGGTGGTTTCGCTCCTCTGCACTGCTCCGGTCTGGCGGCGGTGACCTCTTCCTGGAGTTGGCATTGCCGTTGTTGTGTTGTTGTTGTTGCTGCTGATTCTTCCACTGGGAGAACCACTCCTTCACGAACTCCTGTGGGAGGCCGACTGCGATGGAGATCTTCAGCAGCTCCTCTGAGTTGGGCTCCATGTTCATGGCGAAGTAGGCCTTGAGCACTGACACGTGGTCCTTGAAAGGGTTGACGGGGCTGGTGGCACCCCTCTCTGACAGAGAGGATTGCAGAGCGGCTTGCTGCTCTGAGGGGAACACCCCCCTGCGGCTGGGAGGCACGCCCTGACTTGGCTGGAGGTGGTTGATCTCCTCGTTCTTCTTACACAGGTAGCGCTCGTGCTGGTGCAGTGGGATGGGCCCTGGGAAGGTCTCCTTGCAGAACTGGCAGGAGAACGGCAGGAATGGAACCTGGTGGCTCTCGTGGTGCAACTTGTCCTCAGGATCCATCGAGTGGTTTAGCCTCTCCTTCTTGATGTCCATGTTGATCTGCCTCTTGGAGTCATCGATCAGGCTCTTGGCCTCATTCACCTTCTCCAGAGTGTAGTCGATGATGCTTTTGGTGGGGCTGCCGTGGCCCACCACCTGGAAGCCAGCACGCGGGGAGGACAAAGCCAGCTTCTGCTCCTCCATCTGGGCCCCCAGCTCCTTCATATAGGCCCTGAGCTTGGAGATCTCCTCCGGGTTCCCATCCATCTTCTGCCTGCACACCGTGTTGTCCACGATCTGGAGGACCTTCTGCACCTCGCTCAGGTTGTTCCCCAGGGAACCGTAGCCCAGCAGGGGCAGGTCCAACCCCATTCCACTCAGGTGCTGCAGGGGGCTCTGGGATGAGCTGTGGATCCCCAGGGGGCTGCCTCCTCGGCCGGCTCCATTCACATAGCCCCCTGGGCCTCCAACGCCATACTGGGAGGCCATCAGTAGCCTGTAGTCGTTGAAGTCCATGGGCTCTGCCTTGATGTCCAGGTGGCCTTGCTGGTCTTGGGGGCCCATGGGGCGGCCATTCTCCAGCTTGTGGCGGAGCTGGGCCAGGGCGGGGCTTCCCGGGGAGGAGGCTGTGGAGTTAGGGGAGGAGCCAGCCTTGGCGTTACCTCCTCCGTTACGTACTCGTCCATTGACAGAGATCAGACCGATGCACTTCTTGCTGCTGATGTGGGAGCTGTAGGAGCCGGAGTGGGAGAAGCGCTTCTTGCAGTTGGAACACTCGTATGGTTTCTCACCTGTAAACGGGAAACAAGGACATGTATTTCAAGTTACTCCATTTTGAATACTTGCAATTGGCTGGTAGTGAAATAGCTAAAGATTTCTTTCAGTGTGAAAATGAGAATTTCTATTTCTATTCAACTCTCATTTTCTTGAGCTATGGCCTCATCCATATGGCTGAATTAGTCAGTTATGAAACAGGTCTGAAACAGTGAGCTATTATAAAACAGAATGACTCATTTACTGACAGAGGCCAAAAAGGAACATTATCAATTTTAAGCCCTCTCAGTCATCTAGCTACAGTCACATTAATACATTTAAAAATGGTGGGTTAAAGCCAGCTTGACTCGGCTTAGTACCTACCGCTGTGAATGCGGAGATGCTCCTTCAAATGATGCTTGTATTTGAAGGCTTTTCCACACTCTGTGCATTTGAACTTGCGGTTACCGGCCCCTTCATTCAGAAGCTGGGGCTGTGGAGGAGATAGAAAAGGGAGTTTTCACATCAGTGCCACCTAAACGTGTTGTCTAAGAGTGGGAGGTCACAAATTAACCAGACACTGGGGAAGATTTCAAGGTAGCTGGCCTTGAGAAGGAATGTAATGAGTTTGTCATGGCTTCAATGGTAAGCTACTTTGCAACACAATAACACTCCCTCACAAAAGTTAACTAGCCTATATCTAACAGTTTGGGGGGGGTTACATCCTAAATTGTGTAATCAAAATGATGAAGCACGCAAGCAACTCCAATCGATTTTGAGAATACAGTGTGGGTTGAGTTTTCGTGTTCTGTTCAAAAGTAACTGTTTAGTGTAGGTGCATTTCCTGCATTTGAAATTCAAATGAGTGCAGATAACAAACAAAAACAACATCTAGGGAGATCAAGCCCCCACAAAGAACTTAATGAGAAAGATGTGGGAGGTGTACATTGTTACATTTTCAATTCCAAAAAATCCCTTTTCGATAATGCTTGCTAAGGAGTCTATGTACCGGTATGTGCGAAAGTGTGTGTGTGATTGTGTATGGAGTTAAGACATTCCTAAGGCAGGTGACATTTCAGGTTAGGGCATGTGATTAGGGTTAGCCTACTGAATGTGGCTTGAAGGGGACTACTTTGTGAAAAAGCTAGCTATCTGAAAAATTGGGCCAATGAACGATGTGGAACCTGCCATCATAACCAAACGTGTGAACAATTAACCCATGATAAACATGTGATCTAGGCACACCGAGGATAAGCAGAGTAGCACAATTCACACATTTACACCAATAGCACTCAGTATCACTCAAATCAAAAGCCCTCCACAGTCCGGTGCACTAAGGTAATCATAATGGCCTTCCATAAGATCCTTCATTTAACTCTTTTAACTGGAGAGGAAGTACAAAAATAAACAAAAACTTAGTCATTTGAGGATTATGATACTCCAGATCACTGGGGAAAAGACCATCTGCTCCTATTTAAGTCAGTCTGGAGGGGGAGAGAGGGAGTCAGGTGAGGGGGTGGAGGGGTTAGAATGGGGGTGCTGCTTCACTGCGTCTGTCACGGAGGGCTCAGGGCAAATTTGAGGTTTGAATCTGACATGCTTAATTCAGGAAATCTTATTGAGGTTTGAATCTGACATGCTTAATTCAGGAAATTTCATTATAATCACAGTATAATTGGAAAATTGAATGATTCCACTGCTTATTTACATGGTCCGTTATGAGACAGTTTTAGGACAGAAAAAAGGTCTATACTTTTGGTTTTTATGTTTACAATGGCTGGTTATAAGTGGTTGTACTTGTACTGATTCCCTGGTTGTACCTACAAAATAGGTACATTTTAGACACTACACTCAACGAAAGCACTGCTTATTACTGCTTATTAAACCATAGGAAATTGTCCATATCTCTAGCACTATCTTTATGAGTGCTAATTTCTAATCAAATCTGTTCCAGTTCCAGCAACAGCTGATGCAAAAAGTCAGATGGCCTGAGGAAGGCAATATGCTAGCACATCCCACGCATGCCTCACTGTAGGCGGAAGCTTGGGGGAGCACAACAAAATGCAGCTGCGAACAAGCAGTGCGGGGTCTGATTTTTTAAAAGAACAAAAGCTCAAAAGTAACTTGTTGTAATGTGAGAGGAGTAGAGGACGATAGGAATAGGAAATTGGAATAATCATTCACTCAAGAGAATATGATTCTCAATGCAGAAGACAAATGCATGCAGTAACCATGAGGAAGCTATTAAAGCCCTTGTAATTAACAAAAATCTTAGATGGGGAAAAAAAGAGTGAAGGGCATTGAGCTAAAATGATACTGTGTTTCACATAGAGCACTGACCGACCCACCAAACGACACAACCGAATGTGTGAAGGAGATCAGATGAGGAAAGAAAAGAGGGGATAAAGAGGAGGAGAAGAAAAAGAGAAAAATATCATCCCCTGTCTGTCTGTCTGTCTGTCTGTCTGTCAGTCTTACCTGATCTCTCCCTGGCTTGTGCGTGGCCATATGCCTCTCCAGCTGTGTGCGGTGGGAGAAGGTCTCGCTGCACAGGGGGCAGGCCACGCTCTCCTCGTTCTTCTCATGGCGGTACTTGATGTGCTCCTTGAGCGATGTCAGCCGCTTGTAGCCCCGGTCGCAGTAAGGGCAGGTCAACAGTTGGGCGAAAGCATCTGGAGTCCCAGGTGGCAGGTCTGTACAGGGGAAAGAAGGAGGAAGAGGAGGAGGAGGGCTCATAAGGTCAGCTAATAGACACTGATGGGCAGCATGCCAAGATTGTAAACGGAGGAAGTGTAGCAAGCAACATAATTATCTCTGCTTCACAAAGCCTCAAGTGGAGTCGCCTACAGCTTGCACTTAAACACACACTACCCATAAAAGTCACTCAGTAGCACTATTGGGGACAAAGTCATAAAAGTGGTAGACCTATAACGCAGTTCCTGAGACTGCAAATAGTCAGAGATTTACTGTATTTTCTGGATTCTTACCGTTTTCGTTTTCGTCTTGCCCAATGGCCTCGGGAGTTCCGAGTCGTGTCACTTCCTCTGGGGCTTCTGGGTAAATGATGGCGGTGTCTCCACGCTGCAGGTACTCAGCGATGCTGGCCGAGTGGCTGTCACTCTCCTCCAGTTTATTACGCTTAGTGAAGTAGTCGTCAAGCTCCGACACCCCATCCATACACTTGACTGTATAAGAGGAGGAGGAGGAGGAGAGGGGCAGGTAGAGAAGAAGAGAGAGGGAGACAAATAAAAAGATTTGTCAGTCTCATTCCTCTTTCCCCCATCTTGAGAGATGTGCTGCAAAGCTACAGTATATTGGCCACACAGGAAACAGACTGGTCTCTAAATGTGATGAACTGAGGGAAGAAAGCACTAAGCCACTACTTAGAGGGGAGTATACATTTAAGTTACCGTTAATGATGTCATGTAATGGCTTCTACAAAGAAAAATCAGAGACAATTTCATCATTAAGTGATGTTCACAACCCATCTTAAATGGTGGAAAAAAGCTTTTAAACATTTTAACTTAAATCTGTCCTAGTATAACGGGTAATTGGTTTAAGTTGCAATTAGATTTGCTGGGTTTACAGATCTCACTTAGAATTCTCTCTCTACATAATTTAAAGCAGAGATTTGATTATAAGTAAGATAATGTAGGGTTACATCTGCTTAACAGTCAGTGTAGGCATAATGGTATATCAGGTATCTAATGCATTCATCAGTTGATTTAACAAATCAGGGCAGTTAACGTGGCTACCTTTATGTCTTTGGATCATTACTGTTTGCTATTGGCTTGTGTGTTGTACGCAGCTGTGACACAGATTCGGTGTATATTTTTTCATGAACTGTTAACAATATCCTTAAAACAAAGGACATCAAACTGTCCCCAAGAGGCCTGGTTCCATTGTAGTCACTCTAGGCAAGGTTTTGTTGATAAAACACTCAATTGGAAAGACATTGTGACTCACTGCAAGGACAAACTAGCATTTTATTGTCTTGTTGTAAACCAATTTGAAAGTACATGAACCAAACAAATGAGATTTAGGTCAAAACTCAATTTTGCAGCAAGATGTGATTTGCGCTGCACTCTCACTCAACCTACAACTGCTTTGCTTTCCCTCTTGCTTTACTGCACAAGGAAGGATATTATCTTGCATGGCTGTTGACTGTGTGTATTTCCTATTAGGTATATATCACCTGCTGCAAGGGGATATTATAATCAAGTCTCTTCCTAGTGTGTTGCTATTGAGGATTTAACGCTGGAATGGGGAGTTATAGTAAATATGGTGTTACAGTTAAGAGGGTGGGAGTGGAACTCACCTGTACCATTTACAGCGTGAAGAGACCCCTCTGGCTCCAAGGATTCATATTCATCCTTCCTTTCATCTGTGAAGGAATGGAGAGAAGCGTTTAAAATCGGACCATCAACTGTGGCTAACACAGCTCTCAATAAACTCAAATATGACCATGGTTCAACACTCGAGGCAAAGTCAACTGGAATGTGCATGGTGCATACTACCCTGACAATTCAGTTAACAAGTACCTCTTTCCATTCTGCCACAGCTCATAATGTGAATGTATTTTCCAGATAATGAGGGATAGGCAGGCGAGGGGTGTACATATACTGTGCCTATTGTGTTTGTTTCTCCTGGCCCCAGTCATGTGACTCCTTCCCCCTCCTCGACAGGAGTCACAAGTATCATAAGCTTTCCCTTCAAAGGAGGGATATACAACACCCCTGCCTGCTGCAACAGAGGTGGGGGAAGAAAACAAGAGAACACTCCTTTTCTCCCCCTCTCCCCTCTTTTCATTGCAGCAGGTTACTTTTCAAAACATCCTTCCTCCTGAGCAATGAGTGTCAAACAGGAACCTAATGCTGTGCTTTTTATACCAAAATAGTCTTGCTATGAGTCAAAGGAGTCATAAGGTACTGTACACAACCTATTGAGAACATGTCAAAATGTAATTACTTTTTATAGTCGAATGATACATTTTGTGGCCCAAAAGCGTAAAAGGAACGTTGAAGGTAGATTGTATGGAAATAATCTGCTAGTTTTCCTTCATTAATTCATAAATAATGTGGATGAAAACTATTTTCTTTCTCATAGTTCCAAGACTAAATGTAATTAAGAAGCGAGGTCTCACCCTTCTCCCTACCACTTAGTTTCCCCCTGCACCACACAGATAAAATGGTGGTACTGCACGCTTCAGAAAACAACTGCAAAAATGCGTGCCTTTTCTGATGGGGAAAGCATTGTTGCTTCCCTTCGCCTCAACTTGAGGTTCATTGGGAGGAGAATCATTGCCAGACTTTTTAGAATGAGTTTCATTCAGCCAACATGGGGCTTTTTGTGGGTTCTAGGCCTCAGAGTAAGGACAAAGGCATGTGAGTCACGCCCTGTGCCACTGTCGTAGAATTTTGACACTGTACTCAAGTGTCATTCTATTTTCAGTAGGCCCCTCCTTCACTACACTTACAGTACACTTGCACTGAATATGAAATCTCAAATATAAAATGGAGGCTCATTGTGTTTTCAGTAGTCTTTTTTTCCTAGAGAGGCAGAGGCAAGATGGCGGTTAAAGTAAATTAGCATTTCAGTTCTGTTTGTGGTCATTCTGTTTCGACCCTGTGCATTCTCGATGTGACTCAAACCTCCACAGTTCAAGACTGCTTCTTCTTTTCAGTACCTTGAAGTGACACTCAAGTCTTTTACATCTATTGCCTGAGTGAAATTGAAATGAAAAATATGTGGGTTGTCTATCTTTCATCAGTTTACCTATAAATGTCAAATACCAGTTCAATTAAAATCATCCACCAGTTTAGCATTAGCTATAACAGGCTGTAGCAGATGTGCTAATCTGACATTGATTTCATTTACAGCTTTCTCATGATGGTCATGATAATGATAACATCTATGCTCTCCACATCAAGGCTCTTTTGATTTTCAGTTTTGGAGCGCGTTCAAAATCAAAAACTTATTCCTAGTCCTTTCTATTTCCCTGTTCAGCAGGGCAGCGCGCCACCAAGTCATTACCAGAGACGGATAGCCGACGCCGGTCCGTTTTTTAAAACTGGGCGTCTTACATGAGTTCACTCTGTATCTGTCAGGTGGCCCTAGAATGGTGGGCCTATTATGCATGTAAATTGCCATCATAAAGCTCCAAATTTAATTTAGGGCTGTTAATGAGTCCTGCAAAAGCCTGGCTCCCTCTTAACGATCCCGTTTGGCTCCTAATTAAAAGTATTTGTCTTTGAGGTCCTGGCGACACCGGTTGTCCTGTCACTGATGCAGATGAGTTGGAGGGGGGAGGAGTAGATGGAGAAATATAAAGAGAGAGGGGGGGGGGGAAGAGATAGGGAGAGAGGGAGGAAGAGAGAGAAGGGGGGGGGGGGTTGACAGGTTTCGCTTGCGCTACATGCTCATCATTGATAGCTCTGCCTGTACAATATAGCAATATGGGGGAGTTAGAGGTTGCGTTGATCACGGCCCACTAAACTGTCTAATTATAAAGAATTTCATATCAGGTTGTTTTCATAAATATATACGGGGTTAGAATTATGGGTCAATGAGAATGAAAGGTGGCACTTCATATGTTAAACTGAAATATTGTGACATATTCTGCTCTGGCGAGACCTTGAGTACATTGACCTTTTCGGAGTTGACTTTATTCCTATGAAAGTATGTGAAAACAATGAGGAGACCGTTTCCATGCTTTTACAGAGCCAAGAGAAAGAGAGAAGGAGAGGAAAGAGGGGAGGGAGAACATTGAGAGGACAGACGTGCTACAGGGTGTGAACAGTCGTAGAGCGATGAGTATGTGTGAGAGGGAGGGTGGTTGGGAGGAAGGGAGGGAGATGGTTTTGCCGACGTGAGCCTGTGAAGCAGCTAAAGTGCTGACTGTGTTTCAGCAGCAACATGTCCCACTAGACTAAAGCACTAAGTTAAACTCTACAACCTCCTGTAAATAGGAAAATAGAGCTCTGAAAATAGGAAAATAGACAGAGTATAGAACAAAGCCACTTCTCAGGCTCAAGCTATTTTAGCAGAAACTGAAAAGGTGAATAGGTACTGTATTATTATAAGATGTGTAATTGAATAACATCAGTGATATTATTTTAGGGTCTGTCGTTCTGGAGGTGTTGAGCTAATGTTGTTGTGCTGTGTAATTGATTTACAACAGTGAGGTGTGTTGCCTGTTCACTGATTTAGGTTGTACAGGTATGTTGAGCGGATCACTCACCAGTCCCGTTGAGGTGTCCGTGTCCATGTCCGTGTCCGTGTGGGTTGTCTGCCAGGCGCCAGGCGTGGTTGTGGATCTGCCGCCCGTCCCTGCCCTCTGACCCCTCCTCTGCTCCAGCCCTGTAGGACAGCAGGGCGTGGCCCACCCTGGGTGACGCCTCCAGGTTGGGCACGCCAGCCCCAACGGGGCTGCTACCCTCCTCCCCATTGGTTAGACCGTTCTCCTCTGAGACCAGAGTCCTGTCATCCTCATCTGTCTCGGAGCCCGTCTCCACCACATTCTCATAGTTCAGCACTGCAAAACACAAACAAAGAGACGCTGTTAGGTTTCTAAAACAACATCCGACTAACTCGGCTCTAGTGGTAGAGACTAAAGTAGTGGAGGCAAAAACTGAAAGTCACATTCCTGCGTTGAATAGTTTGGGGAGCTTTTTATACATCCCAGACACCGTAGGGACCAAGTGGAAATGGACAGCTTGTAAATATTACATCCCTGAACTTTGATAAAATGTGGTTGATTTGATTCAGCCTGAACCCAGGGGCCTTCATTCCAATCTATAAATATGTCCACTTTGGTGTTGCCGGAAAAAATCAGATTAAGGTGCATGAGAAAGGCAGGCATAGGCCCAAAAGAGAAAAAGGGAGGGGGGGAAAAATAACACACAAAAAATGCAAAAGCCATGACATCATGGGAACTAGGCGCAGGAAAGGGGGCCCTTGGGGTTGGAAAATAGAGCACAATTTTCAGGTTCATTTTGAGTTCTGTGTTCTGCCTAATAAAGCAATATTTCACCAAGCTCTCATGCGCGTTATCTCTGGAGGCCGCTGCCAACTCCAGAAAGCGAGAGGGAAGTGGCTAAAAATGATGCGTTTTGAAGTCAATTGCTTGTTTGGGCATATTATTTGGTTCCCCTCGACAGTTTTTCAAACCCATAAACCTTTACATCCTAACGGCATACCATTCCCTCACACGTTCCCAAGGAAGAGAATTCAAAATACTTGTCTCTTTTTTTCACTCTTCCCCTTTGGGTACATCGAGATTAGGCTTTGCATATCTGTTCATAATATGATCTTTGTCTGACTGTATGGTTCGGCACTTGCCTCCCGGACAACTGCGCAACAGGTGCAAATTAAAAAGGGGAGCCACGGTGGGGTGGGCTGAAATCTGCTGACCTGGGCTGAATACCAAGAGCAGCAGAGGGGGGTGGAGGGCGTGGGACAAAACCCTCTTTAATAAAAGGTGTGACCACAAGGATTTAGGGGGAGTTCAGACAGGGTAATGCCCTCTCTGATCAAAAAAAAAAAGAAAGAAAGAGAGACGGAGAGAAAGAAAAGGCTGAAAAGTGAGATGTGAAAACACGTTGTGTGGTCTAGGTATATGTTGGATATAATATGATTTCATTCAACGTCTTAACCTCGCGCTCACTCTCACACACCCTCCCCTCTTTAGTCCCGCCAGACCACCAACAATAGTGGTTTTGCCTTTTCGCTGAATGAAATATCTGACCCGTTTATACTCTGAGCTAAGAGCAGTTTGGAACAGACCAGTGAAAAGACCAGCTAGCATCCTGTCCAGTTTATAGAAAGTGTGTTTTCTCCATCAAGACTTGCGTGTGTTATCATGCCACAGAAAATATGTAGGCACATTTACTTTAGGAAATGATATTATTAAACTAATTTCTTCCAGGAAAAAGAGAGAGAAAGATGCATGCCTCACATTTATAGAATCACTTACCAACTGCCAAAGAGAAATGTTTTGGTGGAAAAACACGAAGACAACTGTTTGTTTGTTACTTGACTTATGTTGCTCAGATACTTGGCCAGTGTGTGGCTGTTTTGTATCTGTGTTGCGGTAGGCGGACGGAGAAAAGCCAGTGACCTCCCAAACAAAAGCAATTCATGACACTGTTTGCCTCTCAGTTCACATGGGCCTAGTAGTGTGGCAGATGTCACAGGAGACTGGACTAAAGCTACAGGCTGGGTTCTTAGTTACTCTGGGTCTCTAAATCAATAGTTCTGGTTGGAAATTACTTCAGACACACCACCTGTATTTACAATCTGTCATTAATCTAGATAGCAGTTAGCAAACAGTTTTTCAGTAGGTTTAGTCAGGATAAAGCAAGTAATAACAACTCAGAGTCCAGAGAGTGAGTTCGCTTTGTCTCCAGTGACATCTTTGATGGAGCGCCACCCTTCACTCTGTCTTGCCGCACCTCCATTGTGTGTGGAAGCGCCGCCGTTCCGACCTGCTGATCTCATAGAGATCCATTGTCTCGGCCCGTCACCTCTCCACCGATCGATCCTTTGTGCTCATTCAAGGAGCCCGAGACAAAGCAGCGACAACGCTTGCTATTCTCCTCTGAACGCTCTCTCCCTCTCCCGCTCTCCCTCTCCCGCTCTCTCTCTCTCTCCCTCTGCTGCTCTCTCTCACTGCTCAACTAAGGCGTTCCACAAAGAGACATTAATCTTGACCCTAGCTGGTTTGGTCATCTCCTCTGGTATATTTTACTCCAGGCAGATTCTCAGTAAGAAGAATAGCCTTTTTTATGTCACTTATGCCTCCAGCTGTTTCAGTGAATGACTTAATGTCTCCAACTCGAGCCACAAGTTCCAGGCAGGTGGCTTTAAAAAGGTATGCTATATCGATCACAGTATTTGTCTACAATGGTGCTGGTGGTGCAGGGTAGGAGTACCCTTCCTTACTGAGAATCCTTTCTGAGTCTCTCTGAGAAGGATGATGTAGAATGGTTGGTTTGTTGGTCAATTATCACCATCCAATGCCCAACCCCTTCCACTCTATGTACTTTATATTCAAGAAAATCAATAGTTGAGGTTAGGAGGTGGTGCTCTCTTGCAGTGCAGAGCACCATTCATATCAAATTATTATATAATAATACTCTGTCTATATTAAAGTTAACCCCATCTTAATTTGAATATAGAACAAATCCACTAAATCCTATGAAACAGACATTCCAGTAACGTGACCATTAACTACAACAGTAACAAACAAAAAAAAGGAGCGTGCCCCTTGAGGCGTCTAAATGCATCTAACAGGTGCATACCATACCTGTCACATATCATATGGATTCCGTAAAACAAGAGAACCCACTCCACATCATCGCCTATCCCAAAGTGCGTCCCCAGGCTTTGCAGAGACCACACCTGCCCTCTCCTCGCATGAGTGAGGCTTCCTTCCACGTCGTCCATTTTAAACCGCCCCACAGTGGAACAGATTAATCAGACAGAGCCATTGCCTGCACATATGCCATGAGGGGCTAGTATCCACTCCCACACAGTCTCTTTCTCTCTTTCTCTCTTTCTTTGTGCGGTTCCATGAAAAAAGCCAGTTCCATATTCAAACACAGACACATTGGTGTGTGTGTGTGAGTGTTTGATATTAAAAAACGAGACAGGTTTCAGGTCTACTGCTTTCTCCAGGTGATCCGCTGCTGCCTCCTGTCTCTCTTGTCCGCCGCTACGACTGCCTGGGTAATGAGAGATGAGATGGAAGCTACCAGAGAAAAACTGCTCTCTCTGTTCTACCTCTCTCTCTTTTCTCTCTCTCTCTCTCGCTGCCTGTGAGTGGTGCAGATCACCTGAGCGAACAACTGGAGGGGGAGGGGAGGGGAGGGGGAGGTGAGTGAGTAGGTAAGGAAGCACTGCCTGAATGCTGTGGAAATGAGGTCGCTGCCTAGTGGCTAGGGACTGGAAGTGGTCCAACATCCATCTAATGATAAGCACACACAGACAGGTAGGGGGATTTACACAGGGAGGTGGGGAATAAAAGTGTAATAATGCATTATTTCCTAAAATTTTTAGAAAGAAATAGCCTACAGCATGAATTATTTGCCATACTAGTACAAATACTCTGAGGGAAGTGAAATGAATCAACCAAAGAGTGAGTGTCAATATTTGTGTTGTTATGTGGGCCTATATAACTGAATTGTTGTGTGAGTGTGCATGTGTGTGTGTATTCATGCACATCTGGGGTGTGCCAGCCAGGAGGGAAGGGGTGGTTCCAGTAGCCTGCCTCTAATTGAATTAAACTCCCATTTATCTACGGGGTCCTGAGCAACAGGCTGGACAAAAGGAGAGAGAAAAAAGAGAGAGAGGGAGCAAGAGAAAGATCTCAGAGTACGGCCCACCTTTCCCCCCCTCCCTCCCTCCTTCCCTCCTTCCCTCCTTCCCCCCCCCCCCCTCCCTCCTTCGCTCCTTCCCTCCTTTCCTCCCTCTCTCCCTCCCTCCCGTTACGGAGCCACCATCTGTGCCCTGCCTGCGCACATGTTACTCCTCTCGACAAATGTTCAAGGCCCCCACCACCCCACACACTTACACACTCACTTTTACACATACATGGCGTACAAACAAAAAGCCAACTAGGATCCCTTTGGATAGCCTACACACAAGACTGAAGGAAGTTAAAGATAGAAAACCCTCAAAATGGTTCCTTCACAGGGTGGCTGAAGACAAGCCAAAGCCTTTAGAAACAAAGGCCAAAACAGACAGAAGTGTGATGTCCTCACACTGCAAGGATTACAAGTGAAATACAAAGGACTGACTTTAACCTGATGCTCAACCCATATGATAAAGGACCTTTAGAACAGGTGAAAGAAAGAAACAGAGGCCATGAGAGGAAAAAGGGGAGTGATAGAGATTGATAATTCTTTAGAGTCATAAACTACATCGATTTTTTTTTTGTTTGGAGTTAATACGGGTCAATTAATATGCAAATCTAGGAGCAGATGCTCGGCAGCCAGCCGCCTCCTGTGTGATTCTGGCCTGTCCGTCACTAGCTGTTAGAAATGTTACAAAACAACACACACACACCACAGAGGCTGTTCACAGAACTAACAACGCTACGGGTTACAAACCTGAACTGAAACTAGTGCCCTTCTGCCATATAAAGACAGCCATACTGTTCTACCCTTTATACCATTGGGTTTTTTGAGCCATTCCTCTCAATGTGGCTCTGTTCTTTGATATAATAAACTGCCAAAATAACTGCACAGATCAATTTAGGCTTTTCATTTGCTCTGTGATGTCGACCTGAATTCACTTAACTAAATGGATTTAGCTCTTGGCTGCAGGTCAGCCATCGATTTTACGCTAATGCTATTTTTGGTACGACAACAAGGTGCTCCATATTTTTGCATTGATTTCAGCGGAAAATCAAACCCAATAGGATAAATGATCCTTGATTTGAGTACATCCGTATATATTAAAGTGAACCCGGACTCTATCTATCTAGATTGTGCCTTGCTACTTGTTCTTGTACTGAGGCCAAATGTGATTTTCACCTTTGTAGACTGTTTGGTGCAGATGGCCACAAAAGGGGCTATTAGGACATTAGGAAACCATGTTTCACAATCAGGAAGACAGGTTGCTCATCAAATATTCAGGCATGAGGAAGGAGGAGTGGTATTTCTGCCTAATCTGAGTGCCATGTCAAAACATGGCCCTGCTGTCAGTGTAGCAAGTCAAGACAAAATAACACACTTAATAATCATAGCTCCACTGCTCTGCTCTGCTATGAATTTAGCTAGTCTTGTTTGTACAAAGTATAAATCTCACAGAGTCTCGTAAATATTGAGGAGCTGTTTAATTTAATATAACTTATTTGGTATGTTGGAGCTGGGGTTAAATCCTAAAAGCAATATTTTTCCACAAACCCTGGAAATGACAGAGTGTAGAGATGGCTTCTCTCTCATGTTCTTTCATTAGGCTGTATCCTTTTTATTCCCCTTATGAGTCATCTATGAAGCCTAATTGGTCTCTCACACACTGTCCCCTCCTCTCCCTTCACACACACACACACGCACACACAAGCATACACACACATAGGAAGCTGGTGACAGCAACAATGCGTGTCTAACTATGTGTTGCAGGTTGTGGTGACGGTCTGTGCCAGGTTCCTTCTGCTGCCTGTTCCAGCCCTTCCAGCCCTTCCAGCCCTCCACCACCTGCCTCAGTGTCCTGTCGCTCCATGGATTAACCAAGGCTCTTTTAACTCACATGGGAACCCTGAGCAACTGTCCTCTCTACTGCTGGGCCTCTGTTCAGCCTGCAGTTCTTCCCTGCCATCATCAATTACAATGACTGCTATGGGGAGCTTTGTTGATCACACTCACAGTGTGTGTGTGTGTGCGTGTGCGTATAGATGAGACAAGCGAAAAATAAATCACCTGGGCTAAATGTATGCAAATTTGGATGAATACATGCAATCAGTGCGAAATTAATTTAGCTGAAGCTGATTAGGAGCATTAATAAATCTATCCGCGGTGCTGCTTCCATCTGATATTGCCTTACACTTCCTGTAAGATTAATTAGGACGCTACAATAACATACGGTACTGCTGGTACAGATTACTGTAAGCCCTCTTCTCTTTTATGAAAAGCTAAGCGAAACCTAAATTGCAATTAAGTATTACACCCAAGTCCGTTGGTAGCTAGCTGTTTTCTGTCTCAGTAATATAACAGAGTGATGAGAGAGGGAGAGAGAGAGGGGAGAGAGAAAGAAAGATGTAGCGGTGGGCATGAGGGGCATCTGTGGTCTGGTCTGTGGTAACTGCAATAATACCCTGCCAGTCACCAGCTGGCAGTGTAGGCGGGAGGCTTTCAATGAGGTCAGTTTGTGTGTGTGTGTGTGTGTTAGTTGTTATTGGAGGTCCCACTGATAGCAACTGCCCACTGATGAGCAACAGCAACTCAATCCCAGCACCGTTTAGGCCCCTGCATCTCTGCACCTCTTTCACATGTTAATGAGATTGTAAACCACATCTGCTCTCCCCCTCCCAGCCACCCACACATATACCATGCCAGGATCCCTGTCACCTGAATAGCATCCCCACCAGGTACCAAACAAGAGAGCAGGCTTCCCTTCTGTCACCTAACCCAATGCCCCCTACCCTTTAGTTACCCCCAAAGGCTTGTGACCTATGAACTCTCTGAGAGGCTACATCCACTAGGCCCCCCCTGTTATGCTATCTATCAGTCAACCTGGCCAGGATATCTGTTGTAAAAGAGACACAACAACTCATATCAATAACCGAAGGGATTTAGGACATTTGTTTCTGTCTTTTAGTCAGGGGCTGAATGACTGTGTGAGTTCTTAGGATACCTGGAAAGGTGATAATTAGAGCAAGTGGATAATTAGGATGCAGCTTCCGCCACGTAAACAGGGCTCTGGCTCGCATGCTGCTAAGCTATGAATCCCCTTGTACCGTAAACACACACACACGTGCACACATACACGTGCACACACACACTGCCTGCACAAGCCATAAACAGTGCTTCAGGATGGACGATTATGAGCTGAGCTCCAGTAAATATTTGAAGCACCATTGTTCCTGCCACTTCCTCTGGGAGACCATGAAGACTTGCATTTTCCACTCAGGGGTTCCTCCAGGGAGCGAGCCGCGGATCAAATGACCATCCCAGGCGGAAGTCGTATCAATTCCGCCGACCCCGTTACTGCTCTCTCAGGCATCATCATGAGCATGGCTACAGACTTGAGGCCGAGGTGGAGGAGGAGGAGGAGGAAGGGGAGTGGGGTTTTCAGGACCGTAAAGACATGCATTAACTACGGCCACTTCTGTTCTAATGTGATAGGAACTCCCATCGCAAAAAGTACTTCGGTGAGCACTTGGGATCACAGAACATTCCATAATAAACTACAGCATTAACAACGTTGCAGGGGGCGTTTATCGTTTGTCTACTATATTTCTTATGAAAGTCAAAGATGACGGGCTCTGCTGGAAACCTAACCTCGTGGAGATGTCTTGGCACGCTTAACCTGATCATTTCTCAACTATGCGGACGGAGAATCTAAGATTGGAGCAAATCTCTGTAGAGGAGCAGGCTTCAGAAGAGAGCAGAAGAGAGCAGAGCAGTAGCGATGCAGTTGGTTTCCATCGCCAGCCAACCTGTCGGCAGCCTGATCTATCATTACGGCAGCTTTACCCAGTCTTTCCCCAATGCGGTCCACCATTTTGAAAACAAAAAGAAGAGTCGCTCTGTAATTCACCCCGACGGGGCTGAAACGGCAGGACGATGGAGCGGGCCAGACCAGACACTGACCGCAGCCAATGAGTTCTGTTTTCTTAAAAATTCAACAGCCTGTGAACAGTCCTTCTGGGGGCTGCTCTCAACTTCAAACATGCCAAGAAAAATGTCTCAGAGCTCCCTATTAAAAGCGCGACCATGGGCGTG